TTGGTCTATTCTGTTTTTTAAGTGTTGTTTTCTTCTGTATTTTTTTGTGCCTCCTTTACCAAGCTGTTACTCTTTTTTCATTATTTTCTTGCATCACTCTCATTTCTCTTCCCAATTTTTCCTCTACCTCTCTTAGTTGATTTTTAAAATCTTTTTTGAGTTCTTCCATAGGCCTGAGACCAATTCACATTTTTCTTTGAGGCTTTGGATGTAGCAGTTTTGATATTGTTATTGTTGTCCTCTTCTGAGTTCATGTTTTGATCTTCACTGTCACAGTAGTAACTTTCTATGGTCTGGTTCTTTTATTGTTGTTGTTATTAACTGCTCATTTTTCCAGCCTATTTCTTGACTTTTTTTTTTGTATTTGGAAGCAATCAAGGTTGAGTGACTTGCCCAGGGTCACACAACTGGTAAATGTCTGAGGATGGATTTGAACTCAGGTCCTCCTGACCCCAGAGCCAGTACTCTATCCACTGTTCCACCTAGCTGCTTCTCTATTTCTTGACCTTTAACTTTAAGCTAAAGTTCAGCTTTGCTCTGGGTGTGGAGGGGGCACTGTCCCAATCTTTGGGGTTTTTGTGCTGCTGTTTTCAGATCTAATTCTTGGGGTCCATAAGTTTTCAATTCTTACAAAGTGGTATCATCTAAGGAGAGCTGTGGTCACTGCTGTCATGGCTGTGCTCTGGTCTGTGAGTGACCATAAGCACTATTTTCTGCCCTGGAACTATGACCAGGGTCTCTGTTCCCCTGTATTCAGGACCTCTAGTGTACCAGTGTTCCTCCTCGGCCTGAGGCTGTGATGCAGATCCCCCATATGGATATTTCAACAGAATCCTGCAACCAGTGCCAGCTTAGGGTCCTCTATAACCTCCTTCTAACTAGCTGTCTGACCCCCTTACTAGAAGTTGCTGCTACAGATTCAGTTGACCCCAAGGCTTGCTGCTGGCATGGCCTGCTGCTGGCTGCCTTGTGCAGGGGCTGGGGCCCAGTTGCTGGCTTGTCAGATGGGGCATGCAATGGACTGCACTTCTTTCTTACCTCAGTGAGGCAGACCTTTTCTGTTGACCTTCTAAGTTGTCTTAGACTGGAATACTGTTTCACCCCATCTGTTTGTTGCTTTTACTGTTCCAGAATTCATTTTGAGGCCTTATCTTAAAACTGTTTGGAGGAGAGTTTGGGAGAGGTCAGGTGATTGTCTGCCTTTAATTCACCATTTTGACTCCACCAGTTTTTATTACTTATGCTATTAAAATGGTGTGTTATTTTTATAGTCTTCTTATATTAAACCAACCCTATATTATTGATACAAATTCAACCCGGATAATCTGTTGTAATCTATTTACTAATGTTTTATTTAAAATGTTTGCATCAATGTTCATTTAGGTTATTGTTCTATAGTTTTGTTTTTCCCTAGTCTGTATACTTGTCCATATTTTTAAAAAGATTAGGAGGGTGCCTGTTATTACAAACAGTTATGTGACATTGAAATTGTTTTTTTGAATATTTGATAGAATTTTTTTCAATTTTTTTCTGATATTGGGTCAAATATTTCTTCTTTTGTTAATCTAAATATTTTGGTTTAGTAAGTCTTAATATATTCCCTTTAAGTTACCAATTTTATTAGTATATAATTAGACAAGATAGTTTCAGGTGATTTATTTCCTTTTTAACTGTTGTGAATTTTCATATGAACAAGGTTTTTTTTTGTTTAAAAAAATTAGATTAGCTGTTTATCTTACTAGATTCTTAAAATAACTAACATTTAGTTTTTATCAACTTTTTTTCACTTTCAATTTTTTTATTTGGTTTTTAGAATTTCTTTAATTAGGTTTTTAAATTTTGTTTTTTTCAGTTTCATGCCTAACTCATTCATTTGTTGCTTCTCTCTTTTGTTGATGAAATTTTTCTCTGAATTGTTTTAGCTACTGTCCCAAAAATTTCTGTATGTTGTCTTATGTTCTTTGGGAAATTGTCTTTGTACAAATTGTTCTTTGACTCACCAATTCCTTAGAATTGTTAGTCTCCAATTTATTTTTATTTCTTCAAAGGCTCCTTATTGCTAATGTTTTAGCTTCTTTGTTAATATTTCATTCAATATTTTTGCATCCAGTTCATTAGATGTTGGCCACATTTTCTTTCTTTGATTTATCTTCCCAAAGTTTAGGTATCAGGACTGTATCTGTTTCATAAAGAGGATGTGGAGGGACATTTTCTTTCTCTATTTTAATTAATAATTTTTGTAGTATTGAAATTGTTCTTTGAATGTTTGATAACATTATTTGTTAATCCACATGGGCCTAGGGATTTTTTCCTTGGAAAATAAGTCACTTATGTCTTAATTTCTTCTTCTGAGATTGAGTTGTTTACTTTTTCCAGGCACCTAATAAGCACTTGCCACTTTTTTCATTTATTCAATTCATTCATGCATTTATTCAATTTTTTGTTCTGTTAATCTGGGTATTTAATCTTTATGTAATATTCATTTATTTCTCTTGAGCTACCAATTTTGCTGAACTATAATTGAGAACACAGTTTCTAATAATTTTATTTTCTTAACCTATTGTGATTTTTTTTATATTGGTTTTCTTTTTAAAAAAAAATCGAAGTAGCTAATAATTTGTCTATTTTGTTTTTTTCTCCCCAAAAAAGATAGTTTTATTTATTCAGTGGGTTTTGTTTTCAATTTTATCCCCCATCTTTAGAAAAAATTGTGGCTTTTTGCTTTTCTATTTTTTTTTTTAGGAGCATGCCTACTTCATTGATCTCATGTTGCTTTCTTTTGTTTGTAAACAGGTTTACAGATATCAGTTTGGCTGCATTCCACAAGTTTTGGCATGTTGTCTTATTTTTCAATTTTCTTTGGCAAGGTTACCAATTGTTCTACAGTTTAGTTTTTGACCCACACATTTTTTAAGATTATTTAATCTCCACTTAAGTATGAATCTTTTCTTTAAAATAATGCTTACTGATTATAACTTATTAATTTGTGGTAAGGAAAGGGTATTTGTTTTTCTACATGTGTTTATAAGTTTTTGTGCCTTTGTACATCAGTTTTTGTAAAGGTGCCATGAAAAACTAAAAAAAAAATAAAAGTGATTCCTTTATATTTCCATTCAAAAATCACTGGTCTAGCTAATCTAACTTTTCTAAAATTCTATTCAGATCTTTAACTACTTTCTTCTTTATCTTTTGGCTAGACTTAGGTGTTGATGTTGTGGGAGGGAAAGACAGCAGCCAAAACCAGCCAGAGCTAAAAATAGGAACTCAACTTTACTAAGTCAAATTGTTTTCCCCTTCTCAACCCCCACCCCCCAAAAAAATGAACCAAGGTTTATTTAGGACTTACAGTGTAGAGAGTACAGTGCCTAGTCTATTGTATGTGCTTAATAAATGCTATTTAATTAATTCATCCAAAAAGAGAGATACAACGGTTAGCCAAAATGGTAGATATGCTGTAGTGCAATGCTTCTTAAACTATAGGTCGAAACCCCATATGGAGTCATGTAACTGAATGTAGGGGTTGCAAAAAATTTGGTAACAGTAAAAGGTTTCTGAATGTTCAACAACCAACAATTAATTCAAAATCAAACACATAATGTTTCTGGAAGTGCTTGCGGTATTGCATTGCACAACTTCTTGGCAGCCTTGGTTCTGAACACACAGCATGCATACTTTGCACTGCACATGGAGTCATACCATACAACTCCAATGAGCACTGCCAGAAATATCTCAGCTCAGATTTGAGGCTACTGTATGTTATCAATAGTAGTGTTTTTACTGTACATACAAAGTTATCTACTGTTACAGAAACATAATAGTTTAATCACAGAAAATAAAGACTTTTAATATTTTCCTACCATCATTCCCCCACCATGTGTCAAATTAGTTTATCTTTGGATTGTAATGTGTTAGAATGTTTGATTTTAAAAATTGCTGTTATCTCCTTCTTTTACAGAAACATAAATATTTAATTGCAGCAAGTAAAGACAGAGGCCCTTTAATAATATTTCTCCACCATCACCACTGTATGTGTATGTAAGTGTGAACATCAGTTTTTTAAATTAAGCACAAATGTAATTTCATGCACTAAAGCTAGTATTTATTTGAGAAATTGTTACCAATATTTATTTATATTTTAGGGCTAAAATATATTTTGGTTATGGATAAGAGACTAAATTTAGACAGAAGAGGTAAAAGTACTAATGACAACATGGCAGAGTCTTTGCTACCAGGTTGTAGTATACCTAAATTGACAAGAAAATATGCTGAATCATTTTTGCAATATGGATTTACTTCTAATAATGATGATGGTATGGAAAAATCTCTTTGCTTAATTTGTAATTAAGTTTTGGCTGCAGAGAGCATGAAACCAGCCAAACTAAAACAACGTCTTAATACCAAGCATGTAGCGTACTGCAACAAACCAAAGGGATATTTTTAACGACTTTTGAAATCTTCAAATAAAGAAAAACAATGTTTTGACAAATTTGTTACTGTCAAAAAATTATTTACTTGCATCTTATTTAACTTATTTACTTCCAATAGCTAAAAAATCCTATGAAATAGAAGATCTTACGTTACCTACTGCTATTAAAATGTCAGAAATAGTTCATAGGGAAAAAGTATGGGGATGAAATTTGTAAAATTCTTTTTTCAAATGACACTGTTTCCAAAAGAATTTCTGAAATTAGTAATGACAAATTCCAGCAGCTTAATACCAGGCTTATTACTACATGCAGAGGTATGGTGACTCTCAAGAGGGAGAAGTTTAAACAGATTATTGAAACTGAAAGGTGAAGTTGTTATATTTTTTAGCAGAAATCCTATTTTGTGCCTTCCTCCCCACCACAGTCCCAGACGCAGGTTCATCAACACTCACCACAACTACTCAGGCGGGAGCCTGCAGACTGCGAGCTTCTCAGAGTAGCAGGACAAAGACCTGTTCGACCCCCCTTCCCAGAAAGGAGTGTGACCAGAGGTTTCAGTCATGCCAGTGAACCACTGTGACCACTACCACCACCTCTTCTGGCCTAGGCTCACCCACCATAGTGGGCTCTCCTCGGGCACTAACATCCAAGCTGGGCCTCCTGCGCCTTCTGCAACTGGTATCCACCTGCGTGGCCTTCTCTTTAGTGGTCCATGTGGGTGCCTGGGATGGGGCTATGGGCCACTGGGCCATATTTGCCTGGTGTTTTTGCTTTGCCATGACACTGGTCATTCTGATGGTGGAGGTGGGTGGCTTCCAACCCCTATTCCCACTCTCCTGGCAAAATTTCCCAATCGCCTACGCCTGTTATGCCACCCTTCTCTGCCTCTCAGCCTCCATCATCTACTCTACCACCTATGTCCAGTTCATGCCCCAGGACCAAAGACGAGACCATGCCATCGCAGCCACCTTCTTCTCCTATGTGGCCTGCCTCACCTATGCCACTGAGGTGGACTGGACCAGAGCCCGGCCCGGGGAGGTCACAGGCTATATGGCCACTGTCCCTGTCCTCCTTAAGGTCTTTGAGACTTTTGTAGCCTGTATCATCTTTGACTTTGCCAGTGACCCACCCATCTACCAGCATCACTCTGCCCTGGAATGGTGTCTGGCGGTCTACTGTATCTGTTTCATCCTGTCTGCCATGGCCATCCTCCTGAGCCTGGGTGACTGCACAGGCCAGTTGCCCATCTTGTTCCCTAGTTTCCTCACAGGCCTGGCCATGTTGGCGGTGGCTCTCTACTCCTCAGCCCTGGTGCTTTGGCCCCTCTATCAGTTTGATGAGAGGAAGGGTGGCTGGCCGCGGAGGCGGGATGATTTGGGCTGCCCCAGTCGCCATGCTTCGACTTTGTGTGACTGGGATCAATGGCTGACCGTGGCCATCCTCACAGCAGTCAACTTCCTGGCCTATGTGGCTGACCTGGTGCACTTGGCCCGGCTGGTCTTCATCAGGGTGTGAGTGGGCACCAGCCTACCAGCCTCTCCATTCCCAGTCTCCTCCTTTTTCCTTTCTTGAGTCCCTTTGCCTGCTTTTCTCACTGTCTATATTTCCTTCTTTTCCACCAGCTCTTGGCCTCCTCTTTCTCTCTTCTCCTTTCTCCTGCCCTTCTGCCTGTCCCAACTCCCCTCTAAGGTGCTGAGCTTCTTACCCCTGGCCCAATTCCCAGCAGCTATTCCAGGGTTACTTGGCCACACATCAACCCCCACCCAGGGCCATGGGTTTCCACTGCCAAAGCATGTTGGTTTGCTCCCCTCCCCACCCAATCCTGTGTGCCTTAGTCTGTGTGAATGTTGGGAGAACTGGGGAAGGTGGCCTCCTTCTTCATCCTCTTCCTGCCTGACTGGAGGCAGTGGGGGCAGCCTCTCTGTGCCAAATGCACCTCCTCTTCCAAGTGAAAAATGTATCTCAAGAGGTGTCTAAGGTTCTAAGTCGGAGGACAAAGTCCTCAAGCCCTGCTCTGCCTTGGTCTCCATTATCACAACACCTTCGACAACTCTTCCTGGCAACCTGGGGAAAGGGAATGGAGGAGAGTGAGCACCACCCCATCTGCCTTGGACCTTTCTGGTATCAGAATGTCAGTCAAGACTGAGAGTGAAGGCAAAGGCTGCCTGAGCCAGAAATACCAGTAGTGGTGGCTTTCCTTAAGACTAACAGGCGGGTGGGAGGGATTTGGAGGACCAGAGGGAAGAGAGCAAATGTTTTCTTCCCAACCTCCTCCTCTCTGTTGCTGTGTGTGTGTGTGTGTGTGTGTGTGTGTTTGTGTGTGTGTGTGTGTGTGTTTGCTGCTGATTCTGAGCACCCTATGTTGCTTTCTCTGGGGAAATTATGTTGGGCTGTACTGGATGATGCTGTATTACTATGCTCCCCCTTCCCCCCTCCATCTGCAGTTAGTGTCAGCATTTTGTTTTACCTCAATATAAAGACCACATATGAAGTGTCAAAAAAAAAAAAGAAAGAAATCCTGTTTTGTAAACTTTTTTCATAAAGACTTATGGCTTTCAAAACTGTTGTTGAGTATTTTTGAAAAACTCAATGACTTAAACATATTACTTCAAGAAAAAAATTGTAACATATTTATAAGATAAAATTGAAAATTTTACTAAAAAAGTTAACATATGGAAGAATATGGAAAATGGTTAAGAAACACTTACAGCTGTAAATGATTTTATAATTGAAAATAACCTTCCCAAAGATTTAATTGTAAGAGTTATAACTGATCATGTGAAGTGCCTGAAGGCAGTTTCAGAAGTACTTCCCACCAAATTTTGATTCTAAAAAACTAAGTTGGGTTCATAAACCATACTCAATTAAAATTAAAAAAAAACATCAATCATCTGCCATTAAAAGTTCAACAAGAATTTATGGAGTTATCAAGCCACACAAGTTTAAAACTTGAGTTTCCTTAAAAAAAAAAAAAATCATTAAATGAATTTTGACTTGGGATTAGGGCAGAATTTTCAACAATTTCTGAAATGACCCTAAACATACTTCTGCCTTTTTGTACTATGTATTTATGCTAAGTTGGAGTTCTCAGCACGGTAAAACATTGAAGATGTTCTATGTCCTGCAGTATCTATTCCTCCAAAATTTTATTCTTTATGGAAAAATAAACAAGCACACCCATCTCATTAGTATGAAAATTTGCTTTCATCTTTAATAAATGGTAAAATTACATGTATACCAAATAATTGTTTTAAAATATATATCTTTATGATTTATTATCAGTAAATGTTTGATTTTTATACCTATTTTATGTGTCTGTATACTAAGGATTGTGTAAAAATTTATCTGGTGAAAAAGGGTCTGGAATGGAAAAAGTTTCAGAAGCCCTGCTGTACTGAAATGAAGTAATAGATCTCTGAATCAGGAAGGCCTGGTTGGGCTCACATCCTGAGCTTAACCTCTCAGTGTCCCTAAGAAACCCTTACTTTATTTTTTTTATTTAAATGAATTATTTTATTATATTGATACTTTGGGAGATGTCTTAGATCCTTGCATTGCTGAGAAGAGCTAAGTCTATCAAAGTTAGTCATCACACAAGGTGGCTGTTACTGTGTGCAACGTTCTCCTGGTTCTGCTCACTTCACTCAGCATCAGACCATACAAGTCTTTCCAGGTTTTTCTGAAGTCCACCTGCTCATCATTTCTTGTAGCACAATAATATTCCATTACATTCATATACCACAACTTGTTCAGCCATCCCCCATTTTATGGGCATCCCCTCAATTTTCAATTCTTGGCCACCACAGAAAGAGTTGCTATAAATATTTTTGTACATGTGAGTCCTTTTCCCATTTGCATGATTTCTTTGGGATACAGCCCTAGAAATGCTATTGCTGGGTCAAAGGATATGCACATTTTGATAGCCCTTTGGACATGGTTCCAAATTGCTCTCCAAAATGGTTGGATCATTTCACAACTCCACCAACAATGCATTAGTGTTCCAATTTTCCCACATCTTCTCCAACACTTATCATTTTCCAGTTTTGTCATGTTGGCCAACCTGATAGGTGTGATGTGGTACCTCAGAGTTGTTTTGATCTGCATGTCTCTAATCAATGGTGACTGAGAGCATTTTTTCATATGACTATAGATGGCTTTAATTTCTTCATCTGAAAACTGACTAGTCAAGGGAAATGACTTGTATTCTTATAAATTTGATTCAGTTCTCTATATATTTTAGAAATGAGACCTTTATCAGAGATACTGGTTGTAAAAATTCTTTCCCAATCTTGGTTGCATTGGCCTTGTTTGTGCAAACACTTTTCAATTTAATGTAATCAAAATTATCCATTTTGCATTTCATGTTTTCTATCTCTTGTTTAGTCATGAATTCTTCTCTTCTCCATAAATCTGACAGGTAAATTATTCCTTGCTCTCTCGGTTTACTTATAGTATCAACCTTTATATCTAAATCGTGTACCCATTTTGACTTTATTTTGGTATATGGTGTAAGATTTTGATCAATGCCTCGTTTCTGCCATACTCTTTCCCAGTTTTCCCAGCAGTTTTTGTCAAACAGTGAGTTCTTAACCCAGAAGCTGGGGTCTTTGGGTTTATCAAATAATAGATTACTATAGTCATTGGCTACAGTGTCTTTCATACTTAACCTGTTCCACTGATCCACCACTCTATTTCTTAGTACCAAGCAGTTTTGATGATTGCTGCTTTCTAATACAATTTAAGATCTGGAAGAGCTAGGCCACCTTCACTAGCATTTCGTTTCATTAGTTCCCTTGATATTCTGGACCTTTTGTTCTTCCAATGAATCTTGTTAGTATTATTTTTAGCTCTATAAAATAATTTTTTGGTAGTTTGATTGGTATGGCATTGAATAAGTAAATTAGCAAATTAGCTTAGGTAGAATTGTCATTTTTATTATATTAGCTCAGCCTACCCATGAGCAACTGACGTTCTTTCAATTATTTTGATCTAACTTTGTGTGAAAAGTGTTTTGTAATTGTGTTCACATAGTTCCTGGATGAAATCTTTACTTTAAAAGTGCAGAATGAAGTGTGTATCCACCTTCATAGCGGGAGTTCCCAATGCTAATGAAATCACAGGCGGACTTTAAAAAAAAAAGAGATCAGTGATTGAATTATGCCGGGTGGGGGTGGGGAGGGGGTGGGTTACAGACAGGAAGCACTACCGCCTGGCGAGCTCAGCTCAGTCTGAGGAGGATGCAGCGCAGGAAGGACGGGTAGGTACTTAGGTTATGCTGGGTGTGGGGGTGGGGAGTTGGGGGTCAAGCACGGAGCCCCAAGGCCACGGCCAAGAACTGCGAAACCGCGAAGAGAAGTAAGCCCCCCACCGCCTCGCCGCTCTGCCTTCCTCTGAATTTCTCCTCCCGTTTCAAGCGCGCTCCCACAGTCCGACGCCCGACGTCGCCAGGTCACGCGGGTGGCGCGTTGACGTCGGACGGCGGCCGCACGGGGGAAGAAATATCTTGTCCCCTCCCCCTCCTCCTGGCTCCCCAAGCTTCGGGCCCCGAGTGGACTATGCCGCCGCCGTCGTCGACCCGAACCGCGGTGGAGACGCTGACGGCCGGGGCTTAGCCCAGCGGCGGCCCCCAGCTCCGATTCCACCCCGCCTCCGCCCGGAAGGAGGTCGCCGGCGGGGAGGGGCACGAGCGGACCGGCCCGGGCCGCCGAGGGGAGGGACGGACGGAAGGCGGGCGCTAGAGAGACCCGGGCTCGGAACTTGATTCTCGGAGGAGGGGAAGTTCCCGCCCAGGGAACCCGAGCGGCGACGTCGGGAGTGGCCTCAGGTGAGTGACCCAGGCGGGGGAGGGCCGGGTCGGGCCGGGGGACCCGCCTGCGCGCGCCCCGGCGGGCTGGGGGACGTGGGCGCCACAGCGGGCGGAGCCCCGGCGGAGGGAGACGCGGGGCCGCGTCCGGGGTGGTGGCCCGGGACCATGAGTGACCCCTCCTCGCGGGGGCGGGATGGGCCGGCCTCTCCCCAACCCCACGCCGTGCCCTCCTTCCGGCCCTGGGGCGACAGCTGACCCCTGCGGCTGGACCCCGCGCTCCTGGACGGTCCGGAAGCGCTAGGATGTAGCTCTTGAAGGCTTTTGGAAAGCCCTTTACAAATATTGCATTGATTCTCGCTGCAACCCGGGGAGGGGGGGGTGGGGGGGTAGGGGGTAGGGTCTATTGTTATATCCTTTTTACACCTGAGGAAACTGAGACAAACCGGGGTGGGTAAGGGACTTGCCCAGACTTACAAAGTTAGGATGGAGGATGAATTTTAAGTCTGAGGCTGCATTTGAACTCTGGTCTCCCCCCACCCCCCAGCCCCACTGCGCCACCTAACGGCCCGTACTAGTTACCAATCTGATAGCGATGATAGCTAGTATTTTATTTATTTGTTGTGTGTGTATATATACACATACACACACATACATACACAATACACATAACAGTGTATATATGTTACTATTACATAGTATTCTGTAGTAT